AGAACCAGTCCTGGGTTCTTTCTTATTCATGCCTTTGCAGGGGAGGACTGACTTAAACCAAGTGAAGAGTTTGGAAGGTGTAACTAAGATGTGCAGAGCCCAGTTCTCAGTAGCCGGTTTCCCCAGAGACAGCATGTTATATTTGTAATTGTTCTTCAAGTCACCAATGTTCTGATCCCCAATAATTTGTTTAGGTGCAACATCCACTAGTCCTTGGAAGTTTTGTCAACAAATGAATTATCTATATAAAAGGCTGCAGGTCCCTTTGCTAGGTGGAAGGCAGAAGTATCAGACACAGCAGAGTCCTTCCTCAAAGGTGTCTGGACTCTCCCTTAAGTGTTTACAAACTGACCCAAAGAAGTTCTGACTCCAGTAGGGTGGCCCTTGACCACCTCTTTTGAACCTACATTTTTGCTTATTTTGTTATATGAATTATTTGGGGGGCATCACACCCAATTTTGTGTGTCTAACTCCCCCCAGGATCGCATTATACCAGCCATCCTCCTAGGGGAAGTGGCCCCCTTTTCAACACTCAGGGACCTCCCGTCACTATGGAGATTGTAGGACATTTCAACTGCTGCCCCGCCCACAGGCAGCCCCTCAACTCTCTTTTGTGTGGGAAGTGATAAAATGAGGCATGTTTCAAAGGGGTTGGAGCTTCAGTTGTCTCAAGTCTTTCTAAGCCTCCTACGTACCATCACTACAACTGCCAGGATCCTGTTTCTCCAGGGCCACCCAAACTTTTCGTGTTACAAACAGAGCTAGGCTATCAATTTAACTGATTAAGTCAGTTATCTGCAGGATCAAGGTGTTTATAGAAACCCTTCCATACCTCTGATCTTGACACTCAAGTTTCTGAATTTGTCTATGATGACAGCTATTAAAGCCCTTCACGCCAAGGAGAGGTGAGTCCAGAAGGCCAATCACAAGCAGTATTTAGATATTTTACTACCACATGCCTTGTTCTTCTAGTTTTCCACCCCAAGGCCCAAATTTGAATTCAAAGTATATTTCCCTCATGTTTATTATCTCCAACCCACTCTCTGGTATGAACTTCTCTATCAGTTAGGGCTCTTTTGGGTTGCAAATAACAAACATTGGCCAAGTAAAGCAAATAATGAGTAGATTGGAAGGATACTGGGTAGCCCAGAAAATCAAAGGAAAAACTAAAGAGTTCTCAAGAAGGACAGTTACCAGAACAGCTCTATCTGTGCAGGAACAAATAAGTCAGTGCTACCACTGGAATGACGTGTGTTGTGTCCTTCTGCTCGGGGAGCCCAATAGGCACCAGGCTCAGCCTTTGGTTGAGGTAGGGGCAGGGCACTATGGCATTCCCACAAAACTGAGTAGTCTCCAGAAAGAGGAAGAGTTTTTTGCTTGGTGAAAAGAGCAAAAACTGCCTCAATAACAAAGCCACCTCATGTGAAAGGAAGGTTAAAGATACAGGAGTTCTTAGGAAACCCAAAAGTGGGCAGTTCAGCCAGAATCCACAAGGTACTGGGGTGAGTGAAGCGCCAGAAGCCAAGTTTCCCTTCAGTTATATGGCCTAATTCCAGACCCGTTTGTTCATCAGCACACCCAGCCCCAACCTGTGAGCTCTCAGGTAGCCCTTAGTCTGAGTCTGACTACACACTGGGAGCCCGAGGGCACCTATCAGCTGAGACCAGGGAAGAGTCAAATATCATGGAATAAATGTGGGGCTGGAGCATGGTTACTGCTACAACAGACACACAGTGGAGGAATTCCGGAAGTGTGAACGTGCTGGTCAGGCAACCCCAGGTGACCTTCACTTAATTCCTTTTCTCTATTTCCTTTTGTAAAACACACTTCAGGAAATCAATCTTAAGAGAACTGACCCTCTCACCCTGACCTATGCTGATAACCCCTCACCACAGAAGGGCCATCAAAGCTGTGACTGAGGAGTCAGAGTTCACAAGAGATAACCATAGTGTAGTGGGCTTTCATTTTAATATAAATAAGCTAATTTCTAATAAAATGAAAGAACCCAGGACTCTGCCACTGTCAAATTCCAGAGTAGTTAGAATTAAATGAAAATCACATTTTTATATCCTGAGGAGTAGAATCCAATCATGTGACATGCAGATTAGAAGTCACGTATATAACCACCTCCTTTGTGTCATGGAGTCAAGGACACAGCAATTCCAAATTGGGTAAGATGCAAACCACAGTCCTAGCCAACAGGGATCCAGCTAGCAACCTGGCCAAAAAACTCTGATCATAACGGAATTACAGGCATGTTTAAAAAAATTACCTCCCAATTTACCTGGCATGGTAACCCACCAAATTGCATGAGATGCTCGGGTGGCAAAATCAGGTTAAAATAAGGGAAATGACTCCCCTGAAGACTTTTAACTTCAAGGAAGAGTTAGGAATAGACACTTTAAAGAGATTCTAGGGGACCCAGATGGCTCAGTCAGTTAAGCGTCTGCTTTCTGCTCAGGTCGTGAGCTCCAGGTCCTGGTATTGAGTCCCATATGGTGCTCCCTGCTCAGCGGGGAGCCTGCTTCTTTCTCCCTCTGCCTATGCCTACTGCTCCTCCTGCTTGTGCTATCAAATAAAATCTTAAATAATGATAATAATAATAATAAAGAGATTCTAAACCATAGTACTAACATTTTTATGTTAAGGCATTACTCTTGTTTGTAGTTTTTTTGCTTGAAAGAATCTCATATTTGAGATTAAAAATTGAAATGCTGACTCAAGTTGAGTGAAATATACTTGTGTTTATTAGCAAGTTTAAAATCACCACTGGAATATACAGAAGTGCAGTTAAAAATGCAGAATCCTGTAGCATTTAAATATCTCTTAGAAGGAATTATTGAAATAAATACTTAAAAATGTAGTAAGACTTGTAAGCCAAACTTAAAGGCCTAAGGAGAAACTAAGTTTCTGGATTTATAGTTGTAACAAACAACTACACTTACCAACCCCGAACACTTAGAATGGACAAAAGAAGAGACTGACAAATACCTTCTTTTTAACTTTATTTTTATTGTTGACACTATTACAGATAGATAGAACAACCACAACCATATTATCAAACCAAAAACCTGTGCACAGAAACAAGATGAAGAAAATATATCAAGATGTTAACCACAGTCTTTGGATGGTGAAAATATGGGTGAGTTTCTCTTCTACATTTCTGTAACTTCAAAGTTTCTATAATGAACACATACAGTGTTTATAATGGAAATATATGTGATAAAGGTGGATTACCAAAACACTATGATAAAGACCATTTGAAGAAACCAAGACAAAATATTTAACCATAATCCCACAACAACCACACAACTATTTAACTGTCTTCCATATTTCTTCCCATCTTTGACTCTATGCATACTTATCATTAACACCCTAATTATAGACTGGTGCACAGATCAAGATGTTAACAGCAATTGTTGCTGGGTGTTGGGAATATGGGTGAATTTCTTTTCTTCTAGTTTACTGAATTTTCCAAAGGTTGCTATGAGTATGCATTATATTTGTAATGGAGAAATACATACATAAGATTTAATACCAAAACACCAAAGGTCATTCAAGGAATTTGAGACAATATATTTAACCATAATCCCACAATGACAACACTATTTTAATTATTTTCCATATATTTTTTTCATTTTAGACTTTATGCGTACATATTTAACACTGTTATAATCACAAGCATGTGCACTAAAACAAGATGGAGAAAATAGATCAAGATGTTAAAAGTAGTTGTTGTGTGTTGGGAATATGGGTGACTTTTTTCTCTTTTCTAATTTAGTGTATTTTCCAATATTTTCTCTGGGTATGTATTATGCTTGAAATATAAACAAACATAATAAACTTTGTTATCAGAACACTATTATAAGGAACATTTGAAGACATTAAGATGAAAGTATTTAACCAATTCCACAAAGGTAACATAACAGCTATTTTGAATATACATTTGACACAGTTATAATCATAAACCTGTGCACAGAAACAAGAATAAACAAGATGTTGAAGAGTATATCTGTCTTTGGATGGTTGGAATATGGATTTTTTTCCTCCACTTTTCTGTATTTTCCAAGTGTCTGATAATGAGTTCAAATTATGTTCACAAATTATGTTCGTGATTATAAACGTTTTAGTAACACTACAGTAAAGAACATTCAAAGAATTTAAGAAAATAATGCTCAACTATAAGCCTACAACAACAACAACACAATAGCTTTTGACTATAAGCATACATTTTTAATCAGTTATAACTGTAGTATAAATATAGTTCTGTGTCCTGCTTTTTCCACTCAATATTCCGTAAATATACTTCCACATTGCTACATAACTCTTCATGATTATCATTTTTAAACAACTGCATGACAGTCCATGGATACCTTCTTGTAATCATTTTCCTACTGTTTGGCATTTATGTTGTTCCTAATTTTTTACTAACATAAGGTTGGAATGGGCACCCTGAAGTCTGGCAAGTTGTTTAATACTGCCAACAGTGATAAATCCAAATTCACCCCAATAACATCAATGCTGGTTCCCACCTAAAGGGTCCTCCTGTTTTGTGGGGCCTCAATGCTCCTTGGATGTCCATTCCAACCTCAGGTCTTTCCATGCAGCTGGCCCTCACCTACATTGAAAAGGCCTCTTCTTAACTGCCCAGGACATCCTGCTCAATTAATTCCCACAAACCTGGCCTTCTAAGCCTTGCTTTCCATGTTTCCTTCGGTCTGCTTCCTTACCCTCCTAGATCTGGTGATGTATTAGGACTCCCTTCTTTGGCTTCCTCATTTCTGCTTCATGCTTTCAACAATACAACCTCCCTCGACTTTGGCATTCCCTGCAGCTCTGACATACACGCTCTGAGCCCCAACCCTGCAGATCCAGGAGAGTGAGACTTAGACAAATTCCCCCAGCAGGTGTATTAATTTTGCTTGCTCAAATTATCCGCTGTTATCTTTTGTTCACTTAATCTATAGATCCACTTAAGTTTTTTTTTTTTTTTAATTTTTTTTCCCAGCCAACTCAAAGCCAAAAAATTTAATAGTCAGTATGCAAGGGAGGGGAAGCAAAAGAGCACAGGTGGTCCACAGAACAGGACACAGGAAACCTCAAGCTAGAAGGTCAATTTGTGATTAAGTGGAAAACTGAGGTGATCAGACAAACGTGACACTAAATGGATAGCTCAGAAATACTTAGAAGGGCTGAAAGAGGGAGCAACAAATGGTAAGGAAAGAAATTAAGGCTGCTGGGGAACCTGAGTCCATGTTAAGCTTAAGTTGACTGTAAAGAAAGCTTTTTAAAAATTTTTTTTTAATTTTTTTTAATTTTTAAAATGCAAGTTAGACATGGGTGGAGGGTCGGACAGATGAAGACGAGAATTAAGCGACAGAAAGGTCTAAGGATACTAGCTCCTGGGCATCCAGGGTGCAAACTGACTTGTGGCCATATAATACTAATGAAGCCACGCTGCTACTTGTCACTTAAGGCAGGAAGCGCACAAAGGAAGTGATGGAAATTGTAAGCCTGCGTCCTTATTTACAACATGAAAGCCTCTCCCTCTGGTTTTCAATCATCAGTAGGCACTACTGTGATCTAGTGATGGTTGCAACCCACTCTTTAAAGGCAAAAGCATAAGATTTATAGGGAAAAGCTTCAGCTTTTAAAAATTCACTATCAAACACACAAGTTGGTTAAAAAACAAAAACAAAAACTTGTAATATATTTGCATGAGAATCACTGCAAGGTACAATGTGGCAACCAACCACTTTGGGTCACAGAAAGCCAATCCACATATTGTAAAGGCTTACACAGCATTAGGTTCCAAAGTGTTGGTGTAGACAAAAAGGCTGAAAAGGAAGTTCCAAGTACTTCTCTTTTCAAACAGCAAAGAATAAAAGACATTTTACCTTCCATGCTTACACTTTTACAGGAATACTTAAGGGTAAGTAACAATACACAATTATTCAAAACGATACTGATGGGGTTCAAATAATGCACAATTAAGTCTTTCTCAGAATCTAAGATACTTAGAAATATATTCTAATTTGTTGCTCTCTTCCTCCTCCAAAAAAAAAAAAAAAAAAAAAAATCAGAGTACCAGGTAAGGTACCTCTGCACAGTAAACTGTATATCGTATTAAATCCAAATATATGTGATTACTGCTTTTGCTACCATATGCTATTTTATATACATTGCAGAGAATATTATATATAGGTTACGGAAGTGTCATATACATTTAACTGGGGCAATTTCTGTAATCTCAAAAACTTTTAGGATTTTCCCTCCAATAGATTACTCAGATGAAAGGTATGTGCTATAGCTTTCCCACATGCATTCAGCGATGTGTGATGGGGGAGAGCTAAAACTAAAAGAGTTTCCACTTCGGTCTCTTTAGTCTGAGTTGTCTAATACTACAAGTCAGGTGTGTACATGCCGGGGTGTTTCCTTCTGACGCTATTATAGATTGGTTTCAAGTCTCTGGTTTAGCGGGGGTCAAGTTCTAATTGAAGGTTTTCTAACCTTTATACTTGTGTTCTCAGCCAGTATGAGTATTCTGGTGTCTAGCAAGGGACAGGCGATCACTGAAAAGCTGCCCACAGACATCACATTTGAAGTACTTGTCATCAGCCCTATCGTCGTCACTAGTGCTGGTGCTGGCATGTTCAGTGTAGCGTGAGCTTTCCCCATAGACACTTCCAGGCTCAAATATTATCACCCTGGCATGGGTTTTCAGGTGCTCACCATAGGCTGAGTTGGAGGTGAAGGTTTCTCCACACTCCCTACAGTCATAGTATGGTTCTTCAACCTGAATCTCCTGATCCTCACCTTCTTCTTCTGGATCTTCAATCCCTGCCCCATCTGGCTCGTCAGCATCTCCCTCTGGCTCTTCAGCCTTTCCCTCCGGCTCCTCAGCTCTTTCTTCTGGGTCTTCAATCCCTGCACCATCTGGCTCATCAGCATCTCCATTGGGCTGTTCAGCCTCTCCATTGGGCTGTTCGGCCTCCCCATTCGGCTCTGCAGCCTCCCCATCTGGCCCTTCGGCCTCTCCATTGGGCTCAGCGGCCTCTACGTTAGGCTCAGCAGCCTCCACCTCTGGTTCAGCAGCCTCCACCTCTGGCTCAGCAGCTTCTACATTTGATCCCTGGATCCGCAGAACTTCTCTTGGAACAAGGACATTGGCTTCCACCTCCTGGGCTCCTTCTTCTTCTTCCTCTTCAAGATGAAGCTTCTGATGTTTTGTGAGAACTGTGTTGTGAATGAAGGACTTCCCACAGTCCTTGCATTCATAGAATGGTGAATCTCTTTTAGGAGGCTCAGTGAGAAATGAGGTGTGAACAAAGGTGGCCCCATAATCATAGGGCTCATCTTTCTCATGAACTCTCATGTGCTCCCTAAGGTCTGACTGATTGAGGAAGGATTCTCCGCATGTTTTACATTCATAGTGTTTCTCTTCGGTCTGACTTCTCTGAAACTCAGTAAGGGCCAAGCCTGGACTGACTGCATCTTCACTTCTCTGGTCCTGCTCCGGTAAATCCTCACCAGTGTGAATTCTCATATGTTCACTAAGGACAGAGCCATGAATGAAGTCTTGTCCACACACGTGGCACTGAAGGGATGTTCCTGCAGGAGGATTCTTCTGTGGGGCACGAGGCCTCCGTGGGTTAATGACCAAGGGTTGCATAAAAGGCTCCTCATACCTTCTATGGCCAAAGAATTGATCTTGCTCATGGATTTTCTGATGCTCAAAAAGGAATGAGCTGTGAACAAAAGATTCCCCACAGGCAGGGCATTCATAGAGCTGCTCCCCAATATAATCTTTCTGATATTCACTGACAGAATGGGTATGGATTACAGAATGTGTGTACTCACGACTATCAATGAGATACTCTCTGCCATGAACCTTCTGATGATCCTTCAGGTCTGCGCGGTCTGCAAAACCCAGCCCACAGTCCTTACATCCATATATTGCATCTTCAGTCTCATCCTGCTCATCCTGCTCATCTGGGTCATCCTGCCGAGGCTCTACCTGCCGAGGCCCATCAAGGCCTATGCCCTGAATAACAGAGTTTCCAAAGAGCTTCCAGCCATGGAATTCTTCTCGGGCATAGATCTTCTGATGTGCCCCAAGCTCTTCAATGGTGGCGAAGCAGTCCCCACACTCCTTACATTTGTTGCGCACCTGCTGTTCAGCGTAACTCGTCTGTGCTTGCTCTTCAGTGTAACTCAGTGATGCTGGCTGTTTAATGAAACTCAGTGGTGCTGGTTCTTTAAGGAAACTCAGCGCTGCTGGGTCTTTAATGAAACTCAGCGGTGCTGGTTCTTTAGTGAAACCCAGTGGTGCTGTTTGCTTAATGTAACTCATCTGCATGGGGTTTTCAGGGTAACTTATCTGCACTGGGTGTGCAATGTAATTTGTTGGCCCTATTTGTTTAGGGTAACTCACCGGCGCTGGGGGTTTAGTGGAACTCGCTGGTGCTGGGGGTTTAGCGTTACTTGTCTGTGCTGGTTGTTCAGAGTATCTCATCTGCCCCGGGTGTTCGGCATAACTTGTCTGTGCTTGTTCAGCATAACTTGTTTGAGGGTCAGTAGAGGCTAAGCTGCGAATTACAGATTGTTCATAGTTTTTACTTCCAGAGGGCTTCTTTCTATCATGAATCTTTTGATGCTCGGTGAGGTCGGAACTACGAACAAAGGATTCTCCACACACTGGACATTCATAGACTCTCTCTCTAGGGCGAAATGTATGAGGTTCACCAAAACGTAGGGAGTGAATTACAGAGGTCTCGTGGTTCCTACGCTCAATGTTTTTTTTTTTAGCACGAGCCTTCTGATGTTCGCGGACATTGGAGCTGGGAACAGACGATTCACTGGACCCCTGACTAGTCAGACTTCTCGGAGGTTCGATACGGGACACACTTTGTATAACAGAGTCCTTATAGTTGTTACTCTTAGCCCCTTCATAAGGGTTCTCTCTGGAAGGAGTTTTCTGTTGCTTATCACGAGGGTCAGAAATGTGAGTGGAGGATTCTCCCTTCTGATCACATTCAACAACTTCATTTCCGTTGCAATTTCTGGGAGGCCTGAAAGAAGCTAAGCTATGGATAACAGACATTTCATATTTCTTTCCTTCGGAATTCTCTCCAGCATGGACTTTCTGATGTTCAGTAACACCTGAGCTCTGGGTAGACTCTGCAATCACTTGTGGTTTACTGGGCCCCACTGCACTGTGACTTTTCTGAGCTTTAGCAAAGGCTACGCTATGAATAACAGACCTCTCATACGGTTTTCTCTCACAGGCATTTTCTTTAGTAGGAATCTTCTGGCCATCATCAGGGTTAGAGCTGATGGTGAACGCCTTCTCATCCTCCTCGCTTTCAGGTGGTCTTGTTATAGTATGACTCTTCTGAGATTCAGTGAAGGGCACGCTATGAATGACAGACTTCTCGTACCCTCTGCCTTCATAGAGGTTCTTTCGAGAATGAATTTTCTGATGCTCACCGAGGTCTGAGCTTTGCCTAAAGGCATCCCCACCATCTTTAAAGTCATAGAGCTTCTCTTTGGAGTAAGATTTCTGACGCCTTTTAAGGGACTGACCAGGAATAAAGGTTTCCTCACACACTTTACCCTTATTTTCAAATAAGTTTCCTCTAGTATGGATCTTCTGATGTTCTTTCAGGGATGAGCTATGATGGAAAGTCTCCCCGCACACCTTACATTCATACATTTTCTCTTTACCATACATTTTCGGAACCTCATTAAGGGGTGGGCTAGGTTTAAAGGCTTCCCCACGCTCATTATCTTTGTCATCTTTACCATGGGTTTTCTGGTGTTCAATCAGGGCAGAACTATGAAGGAAGGTTTCCTTACACACCTTACATTCATAAAATTTATCCTTTCCATATATTTTCTGAAGCTCACTGAAGGTTGGGCTAGGCATGAAGGGCTCCTCGTACTCGTCATCATTACATTCTGCAAGATGCTCTCTAGCATGAATTTTCCGATGTTCGGCAAGGGCGGCACTCTTATTGAAGGTTTCCCCGCACTCCTTACATTCGAAGCGTTTCCCCCCAGCCTGGCTTTTCTGAACCTCACTGACAGCCACACTGTGAATAAACGATTCGCCATACTCATAGAGATTCTCTCTAGTATGCATGATCTGATGTTCGACAAATTCTGAAATCACACTGAAAGACCTCCCACACTCATCACACACATAGGACATTGCCCCAAAATCAAGTGGGTGCGACTCAGTGAAGGAGGGGGCGCTAAGACTGCTCATGCTCATGGCTTTTCTCATTTCACTACATTCAAAAGGTCTCTTCCTTGCATAGCCTTTCTGCTCATGAACGGAGCCCTTCCCATCTGTGTCAAACTGATAGCGCCTTTTTCTTTCAAGAACTCTCTTTTTGGAAACAAGACTTGAGTTACAATTATAGCTTCCCCCAAAAGCATTCCCTTCATAGCCCCTCTCCTGAATCACCGACTCCCTCTTGTTGAATGAAGCTTCTTTCCAATCATTGTCTGGCCTTCTGGGGAACCTCTGTGACCGATCATTAGAGTCCCTGGCCCTTCCCGATTTGGAGTTTCGTGAAACATCCTTGATGAATTTTTCCATTATCACCCCGTGGGAAGATTCATCTTCACAAATTCCCCGCCGATGGGTTGACTTTTTGGTTTCAGGCATGGTTTTCAGACCTGAAAAGAAACCCCAGATGTAAATACTCCCTAGTCCCTGTACGTGTGCAAAGTAACAGTGGGACTTCTGAGATGATGGTGTGAATACAAAATGTAAGAGATTTACCAGTGTGTAGGTACAGCTCCCATTTCACTACCTAAAGTGGCCACTAGCTGGGATCTGCCTAGTGCTTACCTCGACTGGTGCTCGGGTAGGCACTTCTCTTTGACCTTGATGAATGGCCTTGTGTCATATGGGAGTGACCATCGTCTTCGGCAAGTTGAACCCCTGTTCACAAGAATAATATGAGTTATGGCTTATATAGCTGCAATCAGGTTGGGTACAAGACTCAACACAAGATAGTGCCTACCTTCCAACAAACCACTAAGGGAGGTAGCTCATACCCAACTCCTTGAATAGTCCCTGTCTCTGAACAGTCCTATGTGCAGTCCCACATCCTCACTGTCCACCTCTCAGTCCATTCTAGCCTGCATTTTAATTAATTCTCCCAACTCCACCTAGAAATCTGTAGAGAAACCACCCATGTCCTTAAATCCAATGCATCCTTTTTAGGTATTCACCCTTTTATAACCTTTTAAATCCCAACACCCTCTTTTTCACCGGCCTCCATGGTTCTCTTCTTCCTTGACTCTTTTCTCCAGCTGTTCTCTGAACTCCACTGCCTTGCACAGCTCTCTCCCCGGCATCAGACCTGCATAGCCAAGCGCCCGCTATGACTGGAGCTAGAGGACTTCATGGACAGTCCAAATGGGAACTCAGGATCCCATTTTACTTTTGTATTTAAAAATCTTCACTGCCACCTCTCTAGAAAAAAGTGCCAACTCTTGTGGCAAGAGACATCTCCCCATTCTCTTCTACCTTGTACAATACACTCTTCACCCAAAGCCAGAATGATTTCTCAAAAACATAAATCTCATCATTTACTTCTCCCCTTGAAATATTCAAAGCCTTCTTATTGCCCTTAAAGTCCAAATATATTAACATCAATTCTAATATCCTGCAGCTTTAAGAATAAGGTGACAAAAAGCTTCAATGACTAGGTCTGGAGTAACTGACAGAAGCACCTGCTTACCCAGGGAGAGCAGCTTCCTATAGTTCTCCATGTTGTCCTGAATTGGGTTCTGAGGCTTCCTGTCCTCAGTCAGGTTCACAACGTCCTGGTATGACACTGCATCCTGAAATACCAAACACAGACCTCTCAATGGAGTCTTTCCACAGGCATCCAAGAGAGAAGAATTCTGGCAACATGGGTGCTACACATACAAAGATATGTAGAAAGTGCTCACAGTGTTTGGGGTTCTGAGTGATCCCAGCAAGTTTTACTACGGACCTACTTTGTACCTACCTTGGCGCTATACTCTGAGGAAGATCCAAAAGACGTATGACACATATTCCTTGCCCTCATGCAGCTTATAATTTGGTTGGAGAGAAAAGACTCATGAAACAATTAGAGAACAATAAACAATAAAGTGGGGTACAGATTATCAGTATTAAATAGCTTTGGTAGAAGGACAGCTCAGGGTTTTGTAGGACTTGGGTGGAACCTTAAGTGGTTAAGACTCCGAACACAGAGAAAAGGGACTGGTGGGAGAGCTTCAACAGGCCAAACATCAATTATGTGTGGCATGTGCAAGGACAGAAGGAAAAAATGTTTCAGCAGACAACTGGTCAGCAACTGTGACTTAAGACTCCCTCCAAGGTCTTACTGTGTCCTGTGCTCACCTTCACTGTACAACATGGATACTTGGTGGGCTCTTCTAGGTGTGGACAAGTTCCAAATAACCCAGATGTAACTTTAAGTACTGAATGCCTTCATTTTATAGCTGCCTCTTCCACTGTAACAGCTATGTCTCTAATAGTAATTTTTAAATTCCCTGCATTACTCAGAAGAATCTTCTATGTGGGATCTCACAGGATCTTTCCTTACTGCTGCACCAGAATGTCACTGGTCTCACGGAAGTGTGGTCCCAGGGAGTACGGCACCACGGCCTAGAGACAGACTTAAGGATGGACACAGCACCATGGAAAGCCTGCAGGTTTTAGAGCCAGAGAAAACTCGAGGGTCAAAGGAGAACTGTACCATTGATGAGCCATGCAACCTTGGGAAAAGATATCTTTCTGAGCCTCAGGTTCTTCGTCTGTAAAATGGAGAGTTAGGCCCAACCTGCTGTGCAATATTGTGGGTGATGATTTTCTACAATGTGATGTGTTGTTTAAACATCAAGAAAAACTATATAAAGAAAATGTAAACCACCAAATTACTATATAAAGATATTTTGATATTAAATTTATTACAGTTTCTCTCTGGGAAGTGGCATTATAGCCATGTGAAACGTAGCAAAAAAAAAAAAAGTGCATTCACAATTAGGTGTATCTCCTACAGAGAAAGATAATAAGCGCACACACTAGGAGTTAAGAGGAAAGCCTCATTTATGCACCTGCCAACATCCAGTGATACAAACCAAAAACCACAACCAAAACTAAGCAGAGTTCAAAACTGAAATCCTTCCTAGGTCCAGGCTGAGAATTCCTAGAATAAGGAACAAGCGACATAGCTCAGAAGCCACTGCAAACTGGGTACAACTGCCACCCCAGAAAGCTGACTTGCATTGTTTTTGCTGGGTGCCAATCTCCTGCCCAACAGCAAGTTCAAGAGCAAAAGCCACGCTATGCTCATGTCTGTGACAGTGCGTCCTAAGTCCCAGCACCGGTTTATTATACTACAAAGGAAAGTGTGGGTGGGAACATAGATGCATTTCTGGTGAGAGAAAGGGAACCAGGGCTCTTAACTTGGGGGATTAGCAGAGAAAAAGATGCAGTTAAGAACTTGGAGAGCACAGGGAAGTCAGAAGGGTCACCACCCCTGGTGTCGACAGACACCCCCAAGGACAATGGCAAAAAGCAATGGCTGTTTTTCATACTCTTCTCTTCATTTGATTGAGTAAAATAAATGCATGTTAAATTTTTAACTACATTGTTCCTATGAAAGAAAAATGGTGCTCTGATTTAAAGTGAAGTTAAATCTATGCAACAGGGCTTCTCTAAAGCAGTCGCTGGCATTAGATGCCAAAAAATGGCATCTAAATTTGCACAAGCAGCAATCAAGCTCCACTCAAACGGGCACCGCCCAGAGGGCAGCGTGGCACCACTTCACTTTCATAGCAGGACCCACACGCCAAGTGATTCAGATTTACACACGCTGCTAAGAGAGGGTGAGGATTTTCTATTGCGTATACCCTCACAATGTAATTTACATCTGCTGCGGCTGCCACTTCTACCCCACTGAGGTAGCAGCGATCAGTGGGTTCTAGACATTAAGAAGACACAGACATGGAGCCAGCTCTTCTCAGAGTCAAGGAAGGGCATTTTTGTTTTTTTAAAAGTAGGCTCCACACCCAGCATGGAGGCTGACTTGGGGACTGAACTTAAGACCCTGAGACAAGACCTGAGCTGAAATCAAGAGCTGGGACTCTTAACCAACTGTGCCATCCAGGCGCCCCCTCGAGGAAGGGCATTTACAAAGCAAAATAAGACAAAAGTCAATTACCAATCATCTTCGTTTCATAAGAGCATTCTAACACTCCCAAAATAAGGACACTTGCATTTCTCATTCCCCCACATATCAGTGAAAACTTAGTGACCATCTGGCATAGCAGTGCTCGGGAACCACTGATCTTCGTTGCAGACCAGCTTCATGGGTGGAAAATGCATATCAATGACACTTTTTTTTCTCCGAAATCAAATTTAAGAAAGAGTCTATGATTTAGTATTCTTATCTAGGTTCCTAAAATTTTGGTTACTTTGGTTTCTTCAAATAAAGCAAAATTAGTGAAAACCTAAGTGTGTCACAAACTTAGATTGTTTCCCTGACACAAGGGCTGGAGGGACTGAGTAACCTCTGACCCCATCTACCTTCTCCCACATCCTTCTGCTGCTGCAAGAGCTCTGCTTTCAATACCCGGACGCTACCCATCCTCCCTTCTCATACACACCTGTGGATCCTTGCTTGCCTGGGACAGAGGACAAATGACAGACCTCTCAGGGTAGGACACAAAGCCCTCCGTCAGCTGATCCCAACTCATAAATCTCACTGCAGGCACCATTACTAATATATCTCAGTGCACTGGGGATAGACCTGAGCTCTCCTCTTGGCTACAGGACACCAGCAACCAGGCCTACCCAGGCTTCAGGATGTCTTGGGTCTCTTGCCCTCTGTGTTCTGGCTAACCTGGCCTTTGTGTGATTCCTGCCTCAGGGCCTTCGCCTGGGATCTCCTGAACCCAACACTTCACCTAGTCAAGTGTTCCTGTCCTTCAGGGGCCAAATGTTACTGCCTTCAAGAGATCTCCTTTCAAATCCAAACCAAGACGCCCATGACAATTTCTTGTTGTAACTCCCAATTTTTCCTTAACAGCACCCTGTATAATTAACATATATGGTATTTATATGGAAATTTATTTGTGGGATTGTTGAATGCCCTTCTCTGTTATAAGTCTCAAAGTTTCCAGGGCCTCCAGGGACCCTAATTATCTCAGTCACTACTGTACTCCTTGACCTGGGGGAGGTCCTTAATAGTTAAGAAGAGACGCAGGCTCCTCACACTCAGCTACCCGCTTCCTCTCAAAGCCCTTTCAATGCTATGGCTGCCCTTTACAATGCCATGTTGTAAGTGACCTGTCTCCTTAAAGGTCAGCTCAAATCCCAAGTCCTTTTTCCCTTCACCAATTTCCCCAGCATACTGCCTTTTAAAATTACTGCCCATGCCAGGCATTCATGGTAAGCACTTCATATACACATATGAATCGTACTCATTCCTCCCAGCAGCCCTGCTGAGCCAATCACCACATCCATCCTACAGATGAGGAAACTGAGGTTCAGCTTGCTTAAGTAAATGTTCCAAGGCTGCACACCCAACAGGTGGCAGAGCTGGGCTGCAAACCCAAAGTCCAGCTCTTGTTGGCTACAGAGCCTCTGCTCTCACTTGCCAGTCTGCTGTATGACCTGGCCACTTCCTTGGCTCCCCACAGTGGGCCAGCCAGAAAGCTCTCTAGAACAGTTCTGCTTCCCTGGCCCAACAGGAACAACAGACATGACCAAAGCACAACTCAGATGCTGAGTGGAAAAGTGTTTCCTCTGACTATGTGGATAAATGGGAAAATAGGCAGGAGTCACCCCAGCCACTTGCCACCTCTGGGGACAGGCCTGGGCTCCTTGCAGGGAGTAATTACCCCCTCCCTACAGCCAGCTGGGATGCTAGGGAGCAGATGAACATACCCTCTTGGGAAAGAAAGGCATCTCTGCTATGAAAAGAAGATGGCCTTTCCAGAAAGAGAGGAAACCTAAGCATACCTGAGATCTTGACTCATAATCCATCACGGAGTCCCTACGTTTGCGCTCCCTTTCCATCGCAAAAGTTGTTTTCTCCATCAGAGGAAGGGAAAGATCCCGTTGAGGAAGTCCTGGGAAGAGAAAAGACAGCATGAAGGACAAGGCCCAGTCTAACCCTGCACACTCATCAGGACGTCAAGCAGGTGACTTACTGCTTCTGGGATTCCTGGTGTATGGCCAGCGGTCTCGAGACTCCAGGTCTCTGCTTCTCCCTCTCCGTTCCCGCTCCCGGTCCCAGTCCAGCCCCCAGTCCCGATTCCGGTCCCGGTCCTGATCCCAGTCCTGGTCCCATTCCCGGTCCCGGTCACCTGAGAAAGCCAGACATTCCAGAAGTTAACAAAAATGTTCTGACACGTGTGTTCTCCCTTCATGTGCACACACACCACTTGGGAAAGGAACACTCTCCTTGCTCCTCCCTTGATGAAAGGGATCCCACAATGAGGTTTCCAGACTCCTAAGCATGATCTGAGCTTTTCCTATTACCCTAGATGTGGAACACCATTTCTGGAGGCTTGGCTCAAGTGGGGCATACTGCAAAGCAAGTTCCAAAGGTTGGTTTAGAGGTTAGTTCCCCTTCAAACACTTCTGTTGGTTTCCCAGTTCCTACATACTCAAACCCACACTCAGGACAATGACTTCAGACTTTCTGCTGTTGGGCTTACCCCTAACTATCTTAATGGACACATTACACTACTCCAAAGAAACAAAACACATGCCATTCCCAAAAGCACTCCTCCTTTTAGAAAGTTCATTGAAGAACCTTTAACAGATAAAATAGCTTTTAGAAACAAAGTAGTAATGGACTTTGTTCCTCTTGGGGAGGGTGTGTCATACCTTCAAATAGGCTGCTGCAAATTTCCAACAGCTTTAAATACGATCTCGAAAATTGTAGGGGTGCCTGGGCAGCTCAGTTGGTTGAGCGACTGCCTTTGGCTCAGATCATGATCCCAGGATCCTGGGATCGAGCCCCAGGTCAGGCTCCCTGCTCAGGATCTGAGTGTTTCTCCCTCTCCCTCCCCTTACTCACTCTCGGATAATTGAATAAAATCTTAAAAAAAAAAAAAAAAGAAAATTATATTTCATGCCACATACTGCTATCTGCTTTAATTAAAAAAAAAAAAGTCTCATTATGTCATCAATTAATTTACTTTCCGCTCAGATCTTGAGTAGCTGCAGCTGCCCTGGGGAAGGCGCTGCTGTCTTCCCTGAAGACTTCATGCCCACCATGCACTTTTATACCATGCGGCAGGCTTGGTGGAGGGGAAGTTAGGCTGAAGTCTGGAAGCATGCTCAATGCGGGCGGAGCATAATCGGACAGGGTTACTCACTGCAGAAAGAAGAGGCGGAGCGCGGCGGCGGGGACTCTGCTCCCTTCCGGCTCATGCTGTCTTCGCTGAGGAGGTCACTGCTGTTGTCGTCTGAGAGGACACCAGACACTGACTTAACGCTTTATCACCTCTGGCTTGTGTTCTCGAAATCGCTCCCCCAACTGGAGTCTGCTCTTGCCCCTACCGCACTAACCCCCCACCTCAACAGGATGGATCAGGAGTGATCAGATCCTCTCATCCCTCAGCTTCCTACTGCTCCTGGGCTGGCAAGTGGCTGCAACTGCCCTCCCACCTCACCTCTAAGTAGCAGCCGCAACAACTTTTGGGGGAAATATACCCTCTGTTTCATGAAAGGGAGACTGGACCAGGGTTGTGAGGCCCACGGAGGCTCACCAATTCCTCATGGAGGCCCTCAATGAAGTGTTGCTTTTCCTTCTCACACCACTTAGGGTGGTGGTTCTTAACCAGGGCATTCTACTCCCCAGGGGACATTTGTCAACATCACGTAGTTGTCACAGCTGGGGAGGGAATGCAACTGGTATCCCGTGGGTAGAGAAGGGCCAGAGATGTCACTGTATGTCCTATAACAAGCTGGCCCCCCACAAAGAGAACGATCTAGCCTTGAACACCAACAATGCTGAGGCTGCGAACCCCCAGGAGCTCACAGCTCCCTGACGGCCTTCACCACGCTTCTACGAAGTCTCACCTCCTGGCTCATACATCCCCTTGTAATTTTCCAGCAGAGTAACTAGCTTCTCACAGTTCTCTGGCTTTTTTGCCCGCACCCAAGGCTTTATCTTTTCTGGAAGGATGGTCAGGTACTGCTCAAGGACCAAGAGCTCAATAATCTCCTCCTTGGTGCGAGTCTCCGGCTGCAGCCAATCAAGGCAGAGGTTTCGGAGTTTGAACAGCGTCTTCCGAGGCCCAACAAATTCCACGTAGAGGAAATTTCGAAACCTCTGATGAAAGAATTCAGGGTCAGTTGCACCTTCTCTTACGGTGGCATCCGGCTCCTTAGTCAAGTCACTGTCTAGCTCATACAGATCTGGGGCCCAAGACTTCTTGGGTTTGGTGGCAGACAAGTACTTTGGAGGCAGCATTTTTCTAAGTAAGATTTTCACTGGAGGAACCAAACATGAGTCAACAGGAAAGACGCAGCAGCCTGTGACAGTCAGTACTCAGGGACCTGTAGATCGTAAGGAGATATACACATGTCCCAGAAGTTGAGGATCAGGCGGCAGTGCAGGGCTGCCCTACAGGGTCAACAATTCTTTGTGAACAGGCCAAGGGGACAGAGATGCATAAGCCCACAATATACAGACACACACATAGCACACAAAGTTGGCTTCACAAAGCACTTACAAGCATAACCTCTGGGCACACCTGTTTGAGAGTTAGCTCCACTACTAACTGGTTTTGTGACCGCAGGCAACCATTCAATGTCCTAGAGTCTGTCCCCTTATCTACACAAGGGGAAAAAAGCCCTCAACCCTTTTAAAACAGATTAAATAAGTTAGTATTTTTTTTAAAGATTTTATTTATTTATTTGACAGAGATCACAAGTAGGCAGAGAGGCAGGCAGAGAGAGTGAGAGGGAAGCAGGCTCCCCACTGAGCAGAGAGCCCGACGCGGGACCCGATCCCAGGACCCTGAGATCATGACCCGAGCCGAAGGCAGCGGCTTAATCCACTGAGCCACCCAGATGCCCATAAGTTAGTATTTCTAAAGGCCTAACTACCCAATGTCCACACATGGGAAATGCTCAAGGTGCTAGCCATTACTGAAACTGGAGGTCAATTTTTTCTTCAGCAAAAATGGAAAAGGGAATATAGGGAATGATGGCCAAGACTGCTACTTCTGATTATTTCTGAGTATCTCCATCTTTGCCGAAGGTTCTACTGGCCAGAGTGGCAGAGTTTGCTGGTATGCTTAGGACCCCTTCCCTCAGCACTGCACACCCTTCTGATGAGTGCCTGTCCCAAAGCCCAGCCTCAGGCTCTGCTAACACCACATCCTCAGGTACGTTTCCTGAGCTATACTTGATTTTTTTTTTTTTTTAAGATTTTATTTATTTGACAGAGATCACAAGTAGGCAGAGAGGCAGGCATAGGGGCGGGGGGAAGCAGGCCCCCCCCGCCGAGCAGAGAGTCTGATGTGGGGCTCAATCCCAGGACCCAAGATCACATGACCTGAGCCGAAGGCAGAGGCTCAACCCACTGAGCCAGCCAGGCACCCCTGCTGTACTTCATCTTTTAAGTGCTGCAAGTACTCATCACATTTATTTTTAAATACTGGAATTAACATGCTCCTCTCCCCACAGCAAACTATAAACTCTATTAAATGGATTAGAGATTAACTTTTCCATTCCTGTGTCCTCTAGTGCCAGCGTAACACAAAGTCAGGTGTCAACAGTGAAATAATGTTATCAAAAATAACGTACACAGACCCATCCTAGAATTGATTTTAGACACAAGCAAGTATTACTATGTGCCTGCAGAGGCATGGAGAAGTTTCTCTAGGCCTAGAACCTCTAGGCCACTGCTTCTGAAGAGCATTCTGGTGTGTCACCCTCCTCGCCTGCCAACTGTTCTACCAGCCCCTTCCCCGTATCTGCAGACAACTAGGTGGGAAGCCCTGGTGGTTATATGGGAAGCTCTCTGTGCTGCCTAGTATACTGGGGGGAAATTAAACGCAATATTGGTGAAGCCAAGGTGATAAAACATCGGTTATTCACATGAACAGTAAGAATATGATGCAGTGGCCATCGGGCTTCCTCATGCTATTATTACACATTCTTCCGCCTTGATCAATCTTGCCAAAGTTTGTCCTGAAAGAACCAGCTTTGATAATCCTCTGTATGGTTTCGTTTTTTCCCCTAGTTCTTTATTTTTCTTTTATTATCTGCCCCCTCTTTTTGGAAAAACCCTTTAGACAGAGTAAAAAAAGCTTGATATTCATCTTTTCTCTAATGTAACCAATTAAGGCTATACGTGTCTCCATGTGGACAGCCACAAATGGTACAAGGAAGCTGGCACTATGGAAACAAAATCTAGCTTTGGGTGGGTCAATTAACTCACCCAACAGTTCTGTACTTCTGGCTTTACTTCCAGAGAAGAACAAAATCATATGCAGCAAAAATTCTTTTTGGTTTTGTTTTGTTTTTGTTTTAAAAGGAAACCAAGTATGTTTAAAATTAAGGTTTTATTTTTTAATGTCAAAAGAGAAAACGAGGTGTTTCCTTTATTATTTGGGAATAAATGTAGCAAAGTCTGCCACGCTGGGTTCCGCTGGCAGCAATGGGCTTGCATGCTACTCATGCACGAACTGCCCTCCCATGCCCTCTCCCACCACTATCCCCGGGAGCACCAAGCCTCACAAACACACATACATCATGAAGACCCTCATGAATGAAGCACTGTCTCCCTGACTGCCCTGCCCTCCTTGAGGAGGACAGGCAGTAACAGAGACAAAGGCACTTCTGAACAGAAGACTTCCAAAGCAGGGAAAGGAAAAGGGCAAAGGAAAAGGCTCTGAGGAACTGGTGTGATAATCTGGATGAGAGAACAGTCCATTTTATCCAGGATTTGGCTAAGAGGGACCACCTCTGATAAGAGCAGAGTTCCCAAAAAGCAGCATGCCTGAATGGCAAGGACAAAAGAGAAGAAGCCCAAGTCTGCTCTTTGGCATCCAGATTCCAGAGCAACACTCCAGTCCCCTAGAAAACACTAGTCCAACTTCTCGGAGGCAACAGGGTACCTGTTTGGGAACAGGATCCTTTCTGGAACTTCAGAACAAGCAGCTTTCCACAGGAAGAGAGCCAAAATGAAACAAACCTGCAGATAGTTAAAAAAACAAAAAAAAAGACAAACATGGAAAAAAATGTAAAAAGAGTGTCAGAGAATTAATTCTCCAAATGGCTGTGAATTCAGATAGCATTAGAGGTGAGAGCTTTATATATCATATTCAAGAAAAGGCCAATTCCCATGTCATATAAACCAACCAGAGAGAAATAGTTTTCAAATTGTAAAAACCCAAGATAAAGCTAGCGCTAACAAACCACAGACCGAACTCAGTTATAAAAGCAGACACAAGTCTTTAACACTATCACTGTTGAACATGATTCTACAGAGTTCTAGCCAATTAGAACAAGGTAAGAGAAACAAATCTGAAGCATAAAGACGTTTTGTCATTCACTTATATAAGACTATCCACTCAGACACTGTGAATCAATGCAAACAGACCTTACAAGAATTTAATATGGAAATTGCTTATAACAGACTTCCTAAAAATGTCTCAGCAATTATAAATTTTAAAAAATGGGAAGAGAACTCCTATTATAAAGATAGGAAAGATTTAATAAAAGACAACAGCAACCATGTGAATAAAATTATAAATTATAGTAATAAAAGGCAATAACTGGAGAGACACAATATAATCATGGGAGATGTATAGATGTGGTATTTCAAAGTTCTAAAACCTCCCCCAAATCAATCTATAATATATGGAAATTCAAAGAATATTAACATTGGGTAACTTGGCAATGGTTCTAAGGTTGACCTGGAGGAATTCCATTTGGATCAGTATTTTAAGAATTCATGTATCAAAGGTCAACAAACCAAACACAACATTTTAAAAATATTTTACCACAATCTCAGGGTAAGAAAGTTCTTTTATAATATGCCTAAAGGCAGAAAGACTACAGAAAAATACAAATAATGGTTTTGTTTATACCATCAAAGCCAAAGAAATAAAACAACAAAAAAGATGCACTTGTAACTTATGACCAAAAAAATGAATTCATTTAGGAATCTTAGTCTGAGTCGACCATATATAGTCAAGTATCCAGTAGTGGCATGAAAAGTGGCATTTCAAACTAGTAAAGATTGTACAAATTACTTTGGTGATTGGTATATAGGAAAACTAGCCAATCATTCACTTAGGGGAAAAGGTCATACTATATACAAAAATGCTAAAACTGAAATCAAAATAAACAAAAGATTAATTTTTATAATTATGGAACAAGGGCAGGCTTGTCTAACCTGACAATAAAATCAGAAGATATATAAAGGGTAACTCCCACTTCACATAGGTACTTACTTAATATGTTAACTTTTCTTCCCAGTAGGCATGTATTTGAAGCATAAAGCACCAGTAAGTGAACTATATATAAGAACTCAAGGGTTAAAAAGTTTGATAGGGAATCAACAATTTTTCTAAGAACATAGAAACAGACAAATCTGATCAGAAAGCAGAGCAAAATCTAGGGAAGAAACTTTAAACAGAATTTCTTTTTTTTTTAAGATTTTATTTATTTATTTGACAGAGAGAGATCACAAGTAGACAGAGAGGCAGGCAGAGAGAGAGAGAGAGAGAGGGAAGCAGGTTCCCTGCTGAGCAGAGAGCCCAACACGGGACTCGATCCCAGGACCCTGAGATCATGACCTGAGCCGAAGGCAGTGGCTCAACCCACTGAGCCACCCAGGTGCCCCAAGGGAAGAAACTTTAAAAGATGAACTGATTTAAGGAGCAACCTCCCATAAAAATTTCCATGAGCAATGAATTTACCATGTTATAAAAACCCTTCCAGAACACAGAAAAGAGATTTTCTTTCCAGTCCACAGAAAACGACTTTCTATTCATTAATAATTTGACCATTTAAATGTCCTTATGAATCCTATCACAAGGTAGATGCCGAGTTGTATACAAAAAATTCACTCATTTCTTATCTCAAGAAATTCAGGACTAGAGCAAACAAATACGATCTTCATTAAATGTGTTCATAGATTTTTCTAACCAGGGGAATAAACAGCCCTTGGTGAGTAAGACCACTACATTTTTAAAAAAATTTTAACAGGAAAACCTAAAAAAAAGAATCAGACCCTAACAATTCCTTCCCACAATGGCAGAGGAAAGTCATTTGAGATCTGGGAGTTTGGGTCCTTTAGAACAGAGTAATCATAAAGACAGACAATATACGCGTCTGTATGAGGAAACTGGGATGCTCACATAGTGCTTGTGGCAATGTAGATTCTATGGAGGGCAATTTGGATAACTTATCAAAATTTTAAATGCACATACCCTGTCCTCTAAATTCTATTTC